CTTGATCTAATAGATTCATTCCTTCTGCTTCCGATTCCCTGATGAACCTGTTTGTTCTCAACATTGGAAGTCTGACAGATCAGATTGCTTATTTGCTGCTGCTGAGGATGATTTCCTGGGCTGCTGTCAGAGTCTCTGCTGAAACCCTGCATGCTGCGGTGCTGAGTCTGACTGAGGCTGCTTGTAAACTCGACAGAAAATGTGTCACCAGAGGCCGACAGCATCAACGCAGCTCGTCCCTCCTCCGACCTGATGATGGTCTCGCCTGCAGGTCCCAGCTCAGCATCAAATGAAGACCACTTAGGCCACAGCACGTCTGAGTCAATGCTGACAAAAGGCTGAAAGAGGAAATGCAAAAAATATATAAAATACTGACAACATTCATACATTTGATGACTAATATTTGGCAAGTAAATCAATGTTGGTACCTTTTTGCGGTCAGCAGGGATGAGCTCCTCTGGCAGATATGGGCGACTTGCATATTTATTCCTAAATGCCAATGCAGCAACTATGAACTCCTGTAAAATGAGATTATAACTTTAAGTACATAATACAGAAGACAATCAAACTGTAGACCTTCAGCCAAGCGAACAACAGCCTGTAGCCTCATTTGAACCTCTTTATATACATGACATGCACAAACTGGGACCAACATACAGAAACGCTGATACGTTGCACCTTATAAGCGCTGATGGTGAATCTGGTCCTCTGTCGGACCCTCTCAGTGGGCTGCAGAGGGTGTCCGGAGGGGTCTTTGGGTTTCACCAGCATGAACTCACAGCCACACGGCGACATTTGTAACTGAGCTCCGTTTCCGTAACGAACATCCACGGATTCATCCTCGTACATGATCATCAGGCTGTCACTGAGGCTGGTTTCCATCTTTAAAACTGAAAAACGACACTCAACTTGTTGTAGTTGAGTTAGAGATCCGCTTAAAATAAAAATACTACGTCATCAGGTGGAGACGTTTGTTATTGGCGCGCTCATGAGAGCAACATGGGCTGAAAAGGCTGAAGTCGAATAGTCCATAGCCTCATCCCCTCCTCGACTCCTCTCTTCCCCTCCTCCGGGACTTGACCCGGAAATCGATCAAGACACGCCATTTTGAAGGACGTCTGAAATGCTGAAATGCACACGGAGGAGTCGAGGAGGGGTGCGGGAGGAGACGAAAGGGAGGATACACGCGAGCAGACTACGCGGAAGTGTTTTCACTACTCGCGTATAAAAGCCCCGCCCCCACCTTCACAGCTGGGTTGCGTTCCGATAATCCAAAAATTAGCTCCTAAATTCTAACCCTATCTCCTATTCCTTGACCTCTGAGTGAAACGTCACGGGGTTAAGGGATAGTGGATAGGAGAATTCAAAAGGATTTAGGAGAAGAGACTGCGGTGCTTAGAGAATCCGAATGCACTTTCACTATCCGACGTGTTTATGATGCGCCAGCGGACGTCATGAATGTGCGTTTGCTGCTGTGGGGAAACTATGGAAACGACAGTTTTCTATACAGCGGACTACAACATGGATGTTCAATAAGAACGAGGGACTCATCTAGAGACTCTGCACCGTGCTCTGATGCTGTTGCTTTATGCTTTATGAACGTGGACAACAGAGAAACATATTCTTCAGGACCAAAGTTGGAATTGAAATAAAAAAGGAAAGTGAAACTTATGCTCGTCACCCTCTCCCTCCGGTCCACATTAATACAAATGATCCCAATACGTATGATTGTATGAACTATTAAAAGATCTTAAAATCAATACAAATGTATTTATTATAAACGTTAGTCCTTAACGTCTATCACTGTGTATATCACCATTCAAACATCTTTTAAAAGTTGAACAAACTCCACACAGCTCAGTGAAATATTGACTTTATTTGATAATTTCAGTAAAAACTAACGTTCATATTTCTCTTTTTGATTATAATACTGATGAACGTTCAAAACAAAGCACTTTGGCAACTTACCACATACGTTTTAAAATGCGTAATAAGCACCGTAACTTTCATGATATAATTTCTCCCATTATCGTTTGTGTCCGTGAACGGCCGACTGTTGAGTGACGGCAAATGCTGCGGCTGCAATGTATTGTGGGGCAGCATTTTCTCCTCTCCTTTCGGTTAGGGAGGTCCAGTGGTTCCTAAGCTAAAGGAGGTTATAAAGGAAGTTTGAAACCTCCTTTCCTTTCATTTGGAGAATTGGAACGGCACTTATCATGGCTGCCAGTGACGTACTTCCGGGTCATTTCACTTGGTTAGGAAGGTTCCTAAGCTAAATGGACTATTGGAATGGGCCCCTGGTCAATTTCAACAGAGGAAAACCGACAACTGGAAGATGAGTGCAATTAATTTCTAAAAGGCTTTCACATTACTATAATTATATTTTTATTTAAATCTAGGCTACATTTTACAACAAAACGGAACACAAAAGCAGGACCAACCATCATACATTGAATTCCTTGATTAACAAGAGAAAGATTCATTCATTTAAATAAATATTTAACAATGAATGGGCCGGTTCTAAAGGCTTATTCAGTTAAGCCCGATGAGAGGGGATACAGCTGTGCACATGTCATCATTAACAGACGTCGTTTAAAAGTGACGTTTGAGTGAACGAGGACATCCCAATTAATACCTGAGGACTCCTCGCGTCACCTCCTCGTGTCTCTCGCTCGCATCTTACGGAGGTGGAGCTAAGACGCAAGGAAGGGAAGCGAGTGAGGGAAAGGAGGAGTCGAGGAGGGGTATTGGGATGAGGCTCATTTAGCTTAGGAACCTTCCTAACGGAGTGAAATGACCCGGAAGTCCCTCAGTGGCAGCCATGATAAGTGCCGTTCGAATTCTCTAGTCTAGAATGATAGGAAAGGAGGTTTCAAACTTCCTTTATAACCTCCTTTAGCTTTAACCACTGGACCTCCCTTACCGAAAGGAGAGGAGAAAATGCTGCCACACAATGCCTTGCAGCCGCAGCATTTGCATCACACAACAGTCGGCCGTTCACGGAAACAAACGATTATGACGGAGAAATTATATCATGAAAGTTACGGTGCTTATTAAACATTTTTAAAACGTATTTGGTAAGTTGCCAAAGTGCTTTGTTTTGAACGTTCATCAGTATTATAATCAAAGAGAGAAATATGAACGTTAGTTTTTACTGAAATGATCAAATAAAGTCAACATTTCACTGAGCTGTGTGGGGTTTGTTCAACTTTTAAAAGGTGTTTGAATGGTGATGTACACAGTGATAGGTGTTAAGGACTAACGTTTATAATAAATACATTTGTATTGATTTTAAGATCTTTTCATAGTACAATCATACGTATTGGGATCATTTGTATTAATGTGGACAGGAGGGAGAGGGTGACGAGCATAAGTTTCACTTTAATTTTTTATTTCAATTCCAACTTTGGTCATGAAGAATATGTTTCTCTGTTGTCCACGTTCACAAAGCAACAGCACCAGAGCACGGTGCAGAGTCTCGAGATGAGTTTACAGTAGTCCCTCGTTCTTATTAAACATCCATGTTGTAGTCCGCTGTATAGAAAACTGTCGTTTCCATCGTTTCCCCACAGCAGCAGACGCACAAAATGACGTCCGCTGGCGCATCATAAACACGTCGGATAGTGAAAGTGCATTCGGATTCTCTAAAGTACCGCAGTCTCTTCTCCTAAATCCTTTTGAATTATCCTATCCACTATCCCTTAACCCCGTGACGTTTCACTCAGAGGTCAAGGAATAGGAGATAGGGTTAGAATTTAGGAGCTGATTTTTAAACTATCGGACCGCAACCATGGAGCAACCACAGCAGCACACGACACGCCCACCTGACACGACACTACGGTGGCTGAGAGACATTGATACCGTACATGGCAGATTAAAAACGAATTGCAAATGTTATTGGAGCATTTTAAGAAACTATTAGGCAAATTAATTAATAATAGTCTTTCCGTTTGAGACAAAACAGTATATGATTTTAAGCACAAATCATTTTGTCTGATTAATAAATTAAAACAAAAAGGGGGCTTAGTAAACTTTATTTGTTAGTAGGCCTACATATAAAATAGGTAATAATGAGATCTATTAATTATGTTTGTCTAACTGCTACACATGTATTTATACATACATGTAGATATAATTTATGAACATCTAAATATAGTTGTTAAAGGTTTTAAGATATAAATAATCACATCATGGGGTCATTAAGGTTTCAAACAGGTTCATGTAAGGCAGGCCTACTATAACATGAAAACATGATTTTTAAAACTAATTTCTGAATCTCACATTAGCCTGTAGTTTGGTATGTTATTGATATGGGCTGGTGTTAGAAATTAAAATCAATGTTTTGATGGCATAATGTACCTTAAATGTACCTTTAGTTTAAATGCTGTTTTATACTGAAAAACCAGAAGTTCTTGTGCACAACCAGTTAGACTTTTATTCTGAAAATCCTTCACCTCCGGTTAGCATTTAGCATGAGGCTAATATACAATTTCCTATAGAGGTGAATTTAGCAGCGATATGATATGATGTTGCACACCGAAACCTACTGATTTCAACACTACAACTATAGACGTCGAGATATTATTATTGTTGGATATTAAATGAAGGTACAGTTTATTTGAGTACGTTATCGTTTACAGATATGGGTAGCATGTCACAACATTCGGAGCGACCGGAAATCGAATTGCTGTGAAGGATTTCCTGTATTTTTTGGAGTGTTGATTACAGCGTTTGGAATGTGTTGAATGGAAAGTCATGAAAGAGTTAAGGAGGAGAAAAGGAGTGTTTAGATATATATTGAATGTACAATGTCTGTATACTGTGATATGTGTAACAACGGACATTAAATAGTCGGAGAGCCGGCCCCCAGGGAGGAGCCAGGAGAGGCTATATAAACAACGAAACCTGAGGGGTTCGGCCTCTTTTCTCTGCTAGCGAGGGCCAGAGACAGCTGCTTTTCTGTCGGACAATATCCTGTTTGTGACTTTACCACGCTTTTTATTAATTAAAGTACCAATTTGAAAACATCTCAGAGACTCCATTTAGTCTCCTTTTTAAGCTTCTCTTTCCTGGACACGAGAATAACCATCACAGTTAACACTGGACACTAGGGTGCATCAAAAAACACAATTCTTGAATTTTGACATGGCTGGGTGCTAAAAGTGTTCCAATATATGTAGAAACAACATATGCAAAATATTTTTCCAATACATGATGATTTAGGGGTGCCACCGCACATCTGTTTTTGTTGGTTAAAGTGGTAAACCGTGCTCAATGGGCGCCATGGAGATCTGAGGTAAACAAGACTGCAGCTCAAGAAAACTGAGGTGATCTTTCTGTTTTTGTGTTGGGTATGTATTAGTACATATTACTGTCATATCTGTAGTTGTGTCTTTGTATACTTAAGTCATATTTATAGGTATTTGGTGCTCATTACATCTAGCTAACGTTAGCTAGCAATAGTTTGCTAACCACAGTTAGCTATCTATGTTAGCTAAGCTATTAAGCTTAACATCAACAGTAGCAGCTATTCTAGAGTGGACAATGTCATATTCAGAGTAGGGCTGGGCGATTTTTTCGGTTTTCACGATTAATCGCATTTTTACTTTCCTACGGTTTGTGAAATGGCTAAACCGAAAAACCGCGATTTTTTTTTTGGATCTGTAATCAAAAAGCTCCTCAAAAACACTATCGAAACAGTTCCTGCCGTTGCTACGTTAGTTCAAACAGTAACAACGCACTATTTTTCTTAGCGGATGCATGTCAATTTAAATCAATACAAAACTATTTTTTAAATCAATAAAATCATTTTCTAAATCCATAAAAGCATTTCAATTAATATTGGGAGTCATGTCGTTACTTTGCTGAGAATTTGGCCATGTAATAAGCGGGATAATGTGCACATTGCACATTGCATAATGTGCCTTCATGCCGATCCCTCCGCAAAAAAAACGGCTCGTTCGCGGGCGAGAGCCGGCTCCCGTCGTTCACTTAAATAGTTCGCGACCGACACATCACTACGACAGACGTAGCATAAAAATGTCCACGAACACAGATGAAGAAGAACTCATTCCTAAAAAAGGTACCACTTCAGTAAGTTCAGTTGTATGGAAGTGGTTCGGGTACAAGCAGTCAGACATAGAACAAACAACTGTTCTTCTGTGTAAGGTCTGTAGAAAGACGATCGCTGCAAAACATGGGAACACAACCAACTTATTCCAGCACCTGCGACAGAGACATGCAGTGGTGGAAGCTACATGAAGCTAACTTCCCAAGACTGAGTTATCTGGCCAATAAATATCTCTCCATTCCTGCCACAAGTGCCCCTTCGGAGAGGGTTTTCAGTACGGGGGGTAATATTGTAACATGCCAAAGAGCATGCCTCAAGCCAGAGGCAGTAGACAGGCTTGTCTTCCTCGCGAAAAACCTGTAGAAAACTTCCTAGAAAGTTAAAGGGATGTTATTTTGTTTGAGGGTATTTTTTTATTATCATTATTTGTTGTATTTGTATCATTCAACATGATATTTTTAAATGATGAAACCAGTCTGAAGTGATTTTTTTGTTTGATGCCAACAGCAAGACTAACCTGGAATTCATGCATTGCAATTATTCTAATGGTTAACTTCCTGCAAGCTATAACAAACCCCAATATTACCTTTCCTGAAATCAACATCCTGTAACCTGATTTATTTTGGACATGTTTTTCTATTTCACTATTATATTAAAAACATATAACAATATATATTTTATTTTTAAAAATGTTTAACTGATGACCTATAGCCTTTATATTTTGTATTGGAACATAACAAAAACATATTTCATAAAACAGTTTTACATTTTCAAAGATATATGAGGCTTTATACTTTCTTTTAATTTTCTTTGAGATATGATTTGTTGAAATGATTGACAAAAGTGTATAATGTATATTTTTCTCACATAACTAAATATGCAACCCAAATAATTCTGGACAGTGATATTTAATAGGTTTTCTTTCCATGCAGGTGCATTTGGAAATAATAGAAATGTTGAAATTGAAATGAAACCAGATGCAGTCAACATTTCTAACATCAGATTCAGTATTGGCATTTTTTTCATCCGTGAACCTTTGTTGGAAATGTGGATGATCCCAAAATAAAATGTCAAGTCCTCGCATCTTTACTCCAACCATCTGTTTTATTCTTCTTTTTACTCGCCATACTTAACTCACCACATCCAGGAGGATCCATATCATTTCAGAAAAAAATCGAGGTTTAAATCGAAAATCGTCCATTAGTTAGAAAAAATCGAGGTTTTATTTTTAGGCCAAATCGCCCAGCCCTAATTCAGAGTATTGATGTCTCATGTTTATTGAGAGTAGCATTGTAGTTGTTACAGTAAATTAACATTTTAAATATAAGTATATTTGCGAGCACAGCTAGCTACTCTGTAACGGTAAGTTATGTTGAAGTTAGACTATGTACAGCTAAAATTTGAGGCTTATGCAAGCATGGTTTATCATAATTGAGTGATATTAAGTATGCCAAGATATGATTTTAAACTCTATCCTTGTCCTTGTATTAAATTAACATTTTAAACATAGGTATATTTCCAAGCACAGCTAGCTACTCTGGTAGTAAGTTATCATTGTAATGATGAAGTTGGACGATGTACAGCTAAAATACAGCATGGTTTATCATAATTGAGTGATATTAAGTATGTTAAGATATGATTTTAAACACTATCCTTGAGCTTGTGTCCTTTTCATTCCCAGGCACTGCACAACAAAACCCACCCCAGGATCCAGCTCTCCTAAGATGCTGCCCTCACCAACTGGTCCCTGCCAGACTAGCAGTCGCAGCCTGGTCTTTGGTCTGGGCCCCAGCATCACCAGTGAGGATAGCATCATCACCGGCGCCAAACTGCCAACTGGTCGTCAGATCTTACGCTGCATGCTTGCCAAGAAACCTGGTGCAAACGGAGCGTTGTCGCAGTTCGAGGCAACCAAGGGTATCCTGGAGCAGGTGCGGCCATTTTACAAGAAAGCCAACATCCCAATGGTGAGCGACAAGCGTGCCTGCCACAAGATGGTAGACTTAGTCAATGCTAACAACAAGCTGCGGAAAATCTCCCAGGCCAAGCGCTCCAGTGAGACTACAGCGAAACAATTGGAGAAAATGGAGTGCAGACTTGATGCCACATTTCCGCTGTGGCCTCCAAATGTTGAAAAGCTGATTGATAACCCAGAAGACCTAGCTTTCTTGGCCAGCATGAAGACCGACAGAGTGGCCACATTTGGTGTGTTGGAAAAAAAGCTGCAGCTCAAGGTGAAGCGGCGAGAGGAGCGTCAAGCTGATGCAGCAGCCAGGCAGTCCCGCTGTGAAAAGGAGCTGGAGGAGATGACGGCAATGTCCAGCTTGGTGTCGGAGAGTGATGAGGAGCCAGAGGAGGATACTAACACAGTCTGTCCAACATCTGAGGGCAAACCATCCCACAAGCGTAAGAAGACTGGAACGTCTTCATTCCACATGACATCCTTAGCCAACCAAGTGTTGTCATTGTTGGATCATTGACTTTTTTTAGACCAAATGAGGAGGGCCAGTCAGGCCACTAATGAGCTCAATAATTCACATGTATTACTTTATAAATTAAGAGTACTAGGGGTCTATTACAAAACCTTTGAAGGAATCGTCATGCATTCTGAATGTTTCTGTACTTTAAAAACATTATGGCTCATGGCCTCCTATCTAAATTGAATTAGAACTAGTAACAATTGAATTCCTGATATCAAAAAGGGATTTTGAACTAGTTCAAATTGTATTTCTAATATCAACAATTGGCATTTCGACTAGTTGAAATTGAATTCCTGATATCAAAAAGGATTTTGAACTACACTGAACAAAAATATAAATGCAACACTTTTGTTTTTGCTCCCATTTTTCATGAGCTGAACTCAAAGATCTAAAACATTTTCTATATACACAAAATAACCATTTCTCTCAAATATTGTTCACAAATCTGAAAAAATCTGTGATAGTGAGCACTTCTCCTTTGCCGAGATAATCCATCCCACCTCACAGGTGTGGCATATCAAGATGCTGATTAGACAGCATGATTATTGCACAGGTGTGCCTTAGGCTGGCCACAATAAAAGGCCACTCTAAAATGTTAAGTTTTCTCACACAGCACAATGCCACAGATGTCGCAAGTTTTGAGGGAGCGTGCAATTGGCATGCTGACAGCAGGAATGTCCACCAGAGCTGTTGCCCGTGAATTGAATGTTCATTTCTCTACCATAAGCCGTCTCCAAAGGCGTTTCAGAGAATTTGGCAGTACATCCAACCGGCCTCACAACCGCAGACCACGTGTAACCACACCAGCCCAGGACCTCCACATCCAGCATGTTCACCTCTAAGATCGTCTGAGACCAGCCACTCGGACAGCTACTGCAACAATCGGTTTGCATAACCAAAGAATTTCTGCACAAACTGTCAGAAACCGTCTCAGGGAAGCTCATCTGCATGCTCGTCGTCCTCATCGGGGTATCGACCTGACTCCGGTTCGTCGTCGTAACCGACTTGAGTGGGCAAATGCTCACATTCGATGGCGTCTGGCACGTTGGAGAGGTGTTCTCTTCACGGATGAATCCCGGTTTTCACTGTTCAGGGCAGATGGCAGACAGCGTGTGTGGCGTTGTGTGGGTGAGCGGTTTTCTGATGTCAATGTTGTGAATCGGTGGTGGTGGGGTTATGTTATGGGCAGGCGTATGTTATGGGCAGGCGTATGTTATGGACGACGAACACAGGTGCATTTTATTGATGGCATTGTGAATGCACAGAGATACCGTGACGAGATCCTGAGGCCCATTGTTGTGCCATTCATCCACGACCATCACCTCATGTTGCAGCATGATAATGCACGGCCCCATGTTGCAAGGATCTGTACACAATTCCTGTAGGCTGAAAACATCCCAGTTCTTGCATGGCCAGCATACTCACCGGACATGTCACCCATTGAGCATGTTTGGGATGCTCTGGATCGGCGTATACGACAGCGTGTTCCAGTTCCTGCCAATATCCAGCAACTTCGCACAGCCATTGAAGAGGAGTGGACCAACATTCCACAGGCCACAATCAACAACCTGATCAACTCTATGCGAAGGAGATGTGTTGCACTGCGTGAGGCAAATGGTGGTCACACCAGATACTGACTGGTTTTCGGACCCCCCCCAATAAAGCAAAACTGCACGTTTCAGAGTGGCCTTTTATTGTGGCCAGCCTAAGGCACACCTGTGCAATAATCATGCTGTCTAATCAGCATCTTGATATGCCACACCTGTGAGGTGGGATGGATTATCTCGGCAAAGGAGAAGTGCTCACTATCACAGATTTTTTCAGATTTGTGAACAATATTTGAGAGAAATGGTTATTTTGTGTATATAGAAAATGTTTTAGATATTTGAGTTCATCTCATGAAAAATGGGAGCAAAAACAAAAGTGTTGCATTTATATTTTTGTGCAGTGTAGTTCAAATTGTATTTCTGATATCAAGAATTGGCATTTCGACTAGTTGAAATTGAATTCGTGATATCAAAAAAAGGAATTTGAACAAATTGTATTTCTGATATCAACAATTGAACTACTGATATCAGAAATTGGAATTTGAACTAGTTCAAATTCCAACTTCCCTTGATATGAATGAGAAGAACGATGCGAATCTCACTAGTAAGAATGCAAATTCTTGATATCAAGAATGCAATTCTTACTAGTAAGAATTGCATTGTTGATATCAACTAGTTAGAATTAAATTCTTGATGTCAAGAATTCACATTCTTGATATCAAGAATAAGAAATCTTGATTTGAAGAATTCGCATTCTTACTAGTAAGAATTGCATTTTTTATATCAAGAATTCGCTAGTAAGAATTGATTTTTTGATATCCTCCAGAAATGAATAAAAGCTAAATCGGCTTGCCATACCTTCTCTCATCAGTGAACGGAAGAGCAGGAGGCAGTGCCACTTTTGCATGGACAGAAGAGTTTGCAGCACCTGCTGCAAATGTGGGAACTTCACTTTTTAAAAAAAAATTTTTTTTAACCTCTCCCTCAGCACTAACACAATTCCAAAATTGTGGAAGTCAGCGTATGTCCTGCCTCTACTAAAAGGTGGGGAGGCCACTTTATTAAATAATTATAGGCCCATCTCAAAATTATCAGTTCTGGCTAAGGTGCTCGAACGCCTAGTGAGTGAGCAGGTAAAGGTGTTTTTATGTACAAATGACATCCTGTCTAAACATCAGTCAGGCTTCAGAAAGCAACACAGCACCATCACTGCGACAATGAAAGTGGTGAATGATGTGGCGAGTATTTTAGACAATAAGCAGAGTTGTGCAGCTCTATTTATTGACCTGTCCAAAGCGTTTGATACCGTCGATCATCGCATTTTAAAGCAGAGGCTAGCCAGTATAGGCATGTCCAGCCATGCAGTGGGGTGGTTTGAAAACTACCTCTCTGAAAGGTCCCAATGTGTTCACTTTGATGGGCTGTCTTCTGAGTGGTTAAACATTGATAATGGTGTTCCTCAAGGTTCTGTTTTAGGTCCACTTTTATTCTCCATCTACATCAATAGTTTAGGTGAAAATGTGGATGAAGCTACTTTTCATTTTTATGCGGATGATACCGTGATGTACTGTGCAGGTCCCTCCATTAAGGAGGCTGGTGTTAAATTACAGACTGTTTTTAACATTATTCAGACTCAGCTCTCTGAATTAAAGCTTCTTTTAAATATTGAGAAAACCAAGGTAATGCTCTTTTCTAAAGCTAAAAAGACACCAGAGCATGTTTTAGATATTGTAACTACACAAGGAACAAAACTTGAAGTTGTTGCCTGTTACAAATACCTTGGTATCTGGCTTGATGATTGTCTCACTTTTAAACTTCATGTCAATAACCTGCTTAAAAAACTGAGGGTTAGGCTAGGTTTCTTTTACAGAAATAAGTCCTGTTTCTCGCTTGAGGCCAGGAAAAGGCTAGTCACTGTGACCTTTTTACCTGTGCTGGACTATGGTGATTTGATTTATATGAATGCACCTGCCAATTGCCTGATCAAGTTAGATGCTGCGTATCACAGCGCGCTAAGATTTGTGACAAACTGTAAAGCATTAACGCATCACTGTACCCTGTATGCAAGGGCTGGTTTTCTTTCACTAACTGTACGGAGGCTCAGTCACTGGTACATTTTATTTACAAAGCCATGTTAGGGAAACTTCCATCCTATATCTGCTCCCTGATCTCACGGCGAATTGTAAGTGGCTACTGCCTGAGATCGCATGCTGTAGTTTTATTAAATGTGCCAACTGCTAGGACTGTCTTAGGGAAGACAGCTTTTAGATGTGCAGCGCCACTGTCTTGGAATAGTCTGCAACTGAAATGGAAACTGAGCAATCTGGTGCCACTAAATGTTTTTAAAGCTCGGTTGGATGCTACTCAATCGGAAGCTGTTGGTACCTGTACATGTGGATAGTTATGTAAATTGTAATCCCTGTGATGATGATGTAAGATGTCCTTTTGTTGTTCTGTTAATGTTTTTATGTTTCATGTGGAACCTACTTGAGCAGGTCTCCCTTGTAAAATAGTTCAATGATCTCAATGGGATTTATCTGGATAAATAAAGGTTTGAAATGAAATGAAACATGCAAGGACCACAGTCTGTCCATTTGCAGCCCCTGCTCGTCCTGAGCTGGACTCTCACAGCCAGACACAGTGTTCAACATTCAACCTTGTATTATTCATTTTAGCACACAACAGGGTAATAGGCATTTAGTGGGGAAAAAAAAACCCTTTTACTTGTGGTAGGAGACGGCATAGTGAAAATCATCATATATCATTATAGGCTAAGATTTTAAACTTTAAGCTGACACTACAGAAAATATAATGATGCATCAAAATCAATGTTGCTGCCAATCCTTGACCCATATCAGGGTCTAATAATAATACTAATGAAATACTCCTTGAAATTTATTTTATGGAAATTATTATTTAATTATTATTAGTTTTTTCAACAAACTGACATTTAAAGGGTTAAAATTCCAAAAAGATAATTCATATTTCATATGTGTATGTCAGGCTGGAGGAGTTTTAAAAGATTAACTCTTTTAAAGTGGGGAAAATATGAATATATCATATTTCTATAGCAGTTTTTGTGAAGGTGGCATTTTTTGGCCTTGGGAACACGAGTGTGAGTTTTTGTTTAAATCTGACACTGCAAAAAAAACAATACATTCAAATCAATGTTGCTGCCAATCATTGACCCATCTAGGGACATAATAATAACAATAATCAAATATTCCTTGAAATGTATTTTTTTTAAATTATTCTAGTTTTTTGTAATATAAAAACAGTGGAGTTTTTTCAACAAACTGGCATTTAAAGGGTTAAAATCCCCAAAATATAATTCATATTTCATATGTGTATGTCAGGCTGGAGTAGTTTTGAAAGATTTCATCTTTTAAAGTGGGAACAAATATGAATATATCATATTTTTATAGCAGTTTTTGTGAAGGTAGCATTTTTCAAGGGACTCTGAAGGGAAGAGGGATGATTAATCTGTTTGTTGACAACAGGAACATCAATGGTGAACATGTATCCCATATGTCTGTAAAGTAGGCTGGACTTCTGCAGACTGTCCATGGAGGGCAGTGAAACAGAGTGGTTGCGCGCAGGCTGCAGAGCTCACACAGAAGAAGCAGCCTGGCCCGGGGCTCGAACATTTCTCTCACACCAAGACGCATTCATGCAATTTAAGAAGTGATGCCTCATATTGCAATGTGTTCACCGCCTGCCTCCTCTTCCACGGTAGAAACGCCGGAGCTGCAATGAAGGTGCCGTTTTCCTTTACATAACCTCTGATCCATTTTTAGCTCTGCTTAGACTGAGGCTAGCAGCAGGGAGCTAACGTTAGCTACAGAAGCTTCATGTCACTGACGTTATGTCACCCAGCCTCTGTTAGAAAACTGTCACAAGACAGCAGCTCAGTGACAGCTGCCAAACACCGACCTGACAGAAATGTAAGGCATGCAATTGTTTTAGTAAATGCATTTGTTTTGTTATTCGTATTGCAACGCTTGCGTCAGCTTGGTATCGAAAGTGTTTTAAAATGTAGCTTGCTTGACGTTTTATTGTCTGCCTGTGTTGTGGAATGTTGCTCTTCCTGTCTGACTATTTGTGCTTTAATTGTGTAACAGCGTTGTGTTTAGTTATTATTTATAATATGCATCCAAATGAGGCAACTTTACAAAGAATATGGCTTGTTTCAGAGCATAAATCAAGATTAAAAGGCTTTATTGTCACAGTAGCTACAGTGTAGTCAACGCAATGAAAATGTCAGGCTTCTCCATCAATGCAACATAAAACAATAAAATACATTAAAAAAAATAGCACAAGAAATAACAGAATATAAATGAAATAGTGCAAGAGAATGTTGCAATTCTCCTATGTTGCAGGATGAGTGAAATATATATATGTAAAAATTAATAAGATGAGCTAAAAATAACATGTATAATCAAATACTCTACAGTGAAATTAAATACTGCTTGTTGTAATAATAAATAAGTATGGGAGGTGCAAAGAATCATGCTGTTATGCTCCTATTAATGTCTAAAAGCTGAATGTGAGATCCTGAAATGATGCTGTGTTTTCTGACTGTCAGGCAGGGGCCTCGTCCATGTGGGCTTCATGCTGTGGTTTGCTGAATGAAGTCATGGGTACAGGGGCCGTCAGAGGCCAGCAGCCAGGGTTTGGGGCCGGTGCTGGACCCTTCAGATTTGCCCCCAGTGCGGGATACTCCACATACCCGCCCGCCAGCTCAGGAAGTCCCAGTCTGGTCTGCAAGGCCTGTGGTCAGGCCTTCTCAGTCTTCAGGAGGAAGGTAGGTGTCTTCCAGTACATGTTCACGGCTCTACTTACCTAATTAGAAGGAAAGGTGTTTGTGTAGAAGCAGAGGGAGGTATATGATGAATATTTTAAACAGAAGGACTAACTACCTGCTGTTTTTGGCTGTGGAAATGCATCTAGTTAATAGCACGTAGATAGAGAACATGTTTTTTACACTTGTTTTCTTGTCTACGTTAGTAATAGGTATTTTTAAATATTGTATAGACTAGACTAAAAGTGACTGTCTAACTATTAGTGTAAACTATTATAGGGAATAGAGCACCTCGATCACCTAAAAAAATTGTTTGCCAAATTGAAAAAATATCAAAACTCAATTGAATTTACACCCAGAGGCTATTAATTTATAATGAGGAGGACAGATGGACACCATGCTTGCTCTGTAATATCTTCAACGAGTGCTCATGTTCATGCATGGCTTATGGTCTCATTCTGTCTGAACCCTGTGCTTCACTCGCTCACCATATCAGTCTAATCCCACATCTTGCATTTATTACTGTTTGATGTTTGTCACTTAAAAGAAATGAGCTTCCTCCTGTCTCTGCACCAGGAGAGGTAGAGCAGATGTGAGTGATTGAAAAATGCAGGAAAGGACTTCTGACATCGAGGTGCTTTCCAGTCATTTGTTAAATGTAACATGTTGACATTTGAATAAAAAAGGGTAAATAGAAGCAATTTGCCACACTTTAGACAAATGTAGGCGTTCCAGATAACATTTTCATGACACATTTATCTCGGCCAAAATATTTGTGATTCATGATTTTATCTCGATAATAATCAAAATATGATTCAAACTCTTGTGCCTCTTAACATAAATGAATCACATTTCATTGTATCACAAATAGGACATCTTTTTTTATTATCCTTTTTAGGGAACAATCATAAAAAGGTCATATTAAATCCTTAGATCCCCCTGCATAGATAAAGGGTAAATAAATAAAAATAGAAATAGCAGCATCGTGAGTCTGTGCTTTTATGCCTGATTATTCTGTATTATAAATTGTGCTAAAATGTTTTAATCCTTTTCCAGAAAAGCAAACAAAACAGCCTTCCAAGTCACACAATTCACAATGATCATGTTAATGAAAATTCTCCTCAATAAAATAATTGTTAGTGTTTTTTGTCACAGATCCAATCATCACATCCCTTTTATGTATGTCAAATGTGTTTTTATTCTTTTATGGTTGTGTTTTGACAGTCACTCATTCTAGACATATTCCCAAATTGCCTAATTTCCATCATCTTGTTTTTCTCTCTCTGTGTTTCTGCAGTATATTTGCTGTGACTGCAAGAGGAGCTTCTGCTCTCTGTGCTCCGTGCTTCAGCAGAATCTGCGTGTCTGTGCCACATGTAATTTGCTGAAGGCGACAGCGTTTCAGCGTCCGAGGCTCATGCGCCTACGAGTCAGGGACCTGCGTCAGTACTTGCTGCTCCGCAACGTCCCCACGGATACCTGCAGGGAAAAAGAAGACCTGGTGGACTTGGTGCTTTGTCACAGAGGCATTGAGGAAGAGGAGGACCCAGACGCGGCCAGCCTCCACTCGCGTTCCCTCTCCACGCCGACCCCTTCCACCACGCAGTCAGCCTCAGAGCTGTCGGCCTTCGTCGCCTCTCAGGAGGAGCCGCTCAGCAGGAGTGACAGCTCTGACACCAACCAGGTCAGAACTTCTAACCATGTGTGATTTTTAGCAGCAGCACACATTACGGATGTACACAACAATTGTCATTACAATATTGCGTATGACTTGGACAATAGTACAATATTTGCTGATATCACAAAGTCTGCCACAATACAACTTTTATGTGATTCGATTCCGAGGCCTGCAATAGACACGAGACAAAAGCATTATGTTCCTAACAGAAGTTACAGTTATATCAACTCACAACAAGCAACACTTTAGCAATTCCAATTCTGGGCTCTGTAGGAAGGAGATGCGCTTAAAATTGTGACACAGACGTACCTTGAGAATTTCAAGAGATAAAGGCATATCTTAAATAGATTGATACATCTCAATGTTTTTAACACATCTAGATCAGTGCTTCTCAAAGTGTGGTCCGCGGACGCCCCCTAGTGGTCCGTGAGTATATTGGTAACATTTCACATTTGAAATAAATAAATAAATAAAAGTTTTCTGCACTCTCGCGGAAATATCTCCGCAATGGAGCGAGCTTAAGTTTAACTTTCGATTGCATGATATAGCCCAGCGCACAGAGGAGAGGAGCCTGACAAGTGGTGGAGCCTGACCACCACTTGTTGACATGCCACCAATATAGAAACTAATTGAAATATATTGTTCATCCTTTCATTCTTGCTTTACCACAAGCAAGTTGAAAATTAAATTATCAGGAATATAAAGCAAATAAGAAGAGCCATAACAGGCACTGAAAAGAGAGCTCAGCTCAACTATAAATACTTGGCCTGCTTAGGGAGCAGTAAGCATGAAAGCTACGAGACATTGTTGACCCAGGGTATCAATGAGCTGTCTGAAGAGTGTGTAATCCTGATCCTTAGTCATCGGGTTTATTCTCAGTGTGTACTGCAAACTAATGTTTGTTATTGCCTCTGCTGTGTTGCAGGATATAGGTGATGCCACATCTGTGTCTCTCCTCAACTTGGACCCCAGTGAACACACTCCGGAGGTAATCAGTGACTTATACAATTTCCTGCTTTCATTATGAAATCATTCATATGTGAAGTTTTAGAAAGTGCATTTCATTTCTGTTGCTGAATGCGTATAAATAGAAATAACTGATGACACAGCTCTATATGCAGTATATCATTTTGTGTTGAAAATTGCCAGGTTAGCAATATAAGGCTTGCAAATAAGATGCTAATGCCTACAATTGCTCAGCTCCATCTGAATAAGCAAACAATGAAACACAAGATTCTATCGCATATAATAGTTTTTCTAAGCACGCTCAAGCATCTTCTGCCCATTCTGCAAAAGAGTGTTTTCTACTCAAAACAAGCAGTAATAAACCCCTTTTTATATTGCATAATCATTTTTAATTACAAGAATTCTCAAGTGGTGGTGCATGCTTGCTATTAAACACAACACAGGATTCCTGGAAGTATAAGCTGTATTTTTATTTAACTCTCATAGTGAATACAATTGTTGTCCCTGTGTACATCTGCAGCCCCGTTCCTCTCTTATGCATGAGGCTAATCTGCCAAGTCTTTAAAGGGAAATCTCAACGCTCAATTCATTTTGCCCCTAATGTCGTGTTTCCTGCTCCTTCAGGTCAGTCCTCAGACGCGGCGTCGGGCCAGAGCGTCGCTCTCAGATATCTCCAGCCTGAGGGACATCGAGGGCCTGTCCGTCCGGCAGCTGAAGGAGATCCTCGCCAGGAACTTTGTCAACTTCTCAGGGTGCTGTGAGAAGTGGGAGCTGGTGGAGCGGGTCAACCGACTGTACAGAGAGACGGAGGAGAACAGGAAATCATGTGGGTATCAACTTAGTCTGGGTGAATATTTAGTTTGGCAGTTGTTGGCTTTAACAATGTCCTGTTTACATGTATTTACTATTGAATGTATTTACTAGGATTAGGGTTACCAAATGTCCATTTTAGATAAGCTTCTATATCGAGGTTTTCCAAGAAAGCTTCAAAAGTCAGTCATTATATTTATGTCATCACCCTAAAAAACTTAAAAACACTCGCCATTTTAATGCAGTGATTAATCAGATTAAATGTAGATAGTTTAGTCTTTTTTAATTAGATCAACTGTCTTTAATGAATATTTATTTTCAGTGTTTGTTAGATTGCTGCTTGTCTGCCCTGTTAAATATAGGATCCTGCCTCCCTTGTGTGTGGCAAGCAGGAGAGCAAACAATTTGACCACAATGAAACAAAAGAAGAAGGCAAAATAGACAGCAATCTAATGTTGATTTAATTCAAATTTAAACACAATAAATTACGTTTTAAATATTTTCGGTAAAGCCTGTGTATTGACAGAATATAAGATGTTTTAATAAGTCGCAATACTAATTTAAAATGATTTCTCTTGCAGTGGAAAATGTGAGCAGTACAGAAACCACAGGTAAGCTGTCACTCAACTGTGTGCACTCTCCTAAATGTCAGCATTGGAAACCACATCCTGTTTTTAACCACAAAAACCCAATATCTCTGCTCCTTAAGACAATATGATATACTGTCGCTAGAAATAATAATAATTAACTTCACAAGCGGAGTCATTTAAATGCATTTTTCTCAATCAGAATCATAATGAAATGTCTCTTGCTTGCTTTACTCCTATCACTCTTAAGTGGTGGCCTTTCCCCCTCCTATCTGCAACGGGGCCGTCGGAGGTAAGGCTTATGCCACTGTTGCCATGGTCACATGCACCACCTGTGACTCACCACCACATCTGTATTCACCGTGAACCCATTATCATTCGCTATCCCACTTTCGTCTTTGTGTAATCCCCATGTGTCCTCCCTATGTGTCCTCCCTGTGTGTGAATGACATTTAATGTGAGAGTTTCTTTATAAAAGGATGGAAATCATTAATCCCACAGGTTCATCGATCCACCATGATCATTCTATCATCCATTCATGTGGTTGGATGTGTGAAGCAAGTCATTCTGAGGAAGTGTAGTCTATTAGCCGTGTAAACCCACTCTCCTAGCAGCAGGCTACCAGTTATAAAGACTGTATGGTCGTCATAGAAACACCTTGACATATTGCTATTACGGGCATTGACATTTTTGAGTAGATTGTGAGCATGACCTCACCAAGATAAGGCACTCTGGGTAAGATGAGCCATTTATGAAGCTGCTGAGTATGTTGCTGCACCTTCTTCACTCCTCAGTGCATGATATATCACTCTGTTATTTCATCGCTGTGTTAGGAGGAAAACTTCCATTAAATGACCATTTTGCATATCATTTACTCACCCTGTGTTACTTAGTATTCTTGAAGAAAATGGTGAACAAAGATTAAAAAATAACAGACTGAAGGACAAAATTATTAAAATGACTCTTCTCCATTTTTTAATTCTTTGTTCAACATGGAGACATGTGATCATCTTGTGGGTGACTTACTCCTTTTTAAAACAGTTTCCTCACACTTCCTTTCACCTCTCCGTTCTCCTCCAGACGGTGAGAAGGGTCCGCTGACGGTCCAGGATGACAACCTCTGCAGGATCTGCATGGACGCTGTGATCGACTGCGTTCTCCTGGAGTGCGGTCACATGGTCACCTGCACCAAGTGCGGCAAGAGGATGAACGAGTGCCCGATCTGCAGGCAGTACGTCGTGAGGGCCGTGCACGTCTTCAAGTCCTAATGCACCTCTGCAGGTCTCAGACTTTGTGTGTTTTGAAGTGGGGGTTGTATGAGATACTAACTCAATAACATACTGTGTTATTGTGTGACTTTGGTAGGTTCAAATTCTCCAATTGTGGCAGTGATAGACCAGCAACTCTGGTGTTCTATGAGGTAGAATTACATTTTTCTTTCAATGGAGTCTGGTGGCCTTGAATGGAGGAGATATGAGAGAGACAAGGGCTGGAGATCCTCTTGGGAGCGAGCCATCTCACAGCAAGGTAAAGTGGTGAAAATATTCTAAATATAGCGTTCACTCTAACTGATTTGGATTATTCTTTAAGTGGCCGAAGTATGTTTTGCTGCTGCTTTGTCCACAATAGTAATTTGCTCCAGGGCTGCTACTCCAAACTGTGGAGGCCAGATGCCAGGCACTCTAAGTAATACTGAACACTCGCTTTGGAAGTATCTCATATAACCCCACTTTAAAACATCCACCTTTAAATCAACCATGCAGCTCATAACTTTGAATCCGCAAAATAGTTATTTTGTGGGTGTTCCCACGTTTGTATTCCCTTAAAAGTCTCACACTATTTGCACATTGAAATATTGTGAGAAATGTGTTTTTATTAATAACTTGACTTCAGTTTCAGTCATTCCTCAAGTAAACATATCTCTAATCTGTGTTCATTCCTAAGTGTCTGTTTGGCTTTTCTTACAGTTTCTCAAAGCAAAGAATGTGTGGCACTCAGCCACTTGTAGTCCTGTCTAACACAACGCATCACCCTCAGATCTGCCTATAAGCTGTAGCTTCTTTACGACTGCTGCACGTCAATACATATCATAGAAACACCGAGGACAGAAGCAAACTGAACCTCACCACAGGACAGAGGGTGAGTGAACAAGGTGCCAAATAATGGGTGTTACTCTATGCTTGTCACCCATTTCCTCCACCCTCCACTGTGTGGGTGTCAGCATGTGCGGATGTTGATTTTTCAGCACTTTGTTCACACTGTGTTAATGCACCACCGCTCACAACAGACTCTAAACTATGACCAATAACAGTGGCTGAAGTAACATGTGTACTGATTCTTGGAAACCTTGTGGGATGAAGTTTAAAGGCTACTTAATGTGTTTGTTTGTCAGTTGAAAAAAAGATGAAATTAGAAATAACTGAGCTTGTTTTTTCTTTTGAAGTAAAACCTAGTGTTACTCTAGAAATGAGTGCTATGCGGTCTTGACTGATGAAATCAATGCATTATTAATTATATTGAATTATTATTGTTTTAGAGGCGCAGAATAATGCACTTAGCGCTGCAACTAGTGGTTAATTTGTCTGCCTATTATTTTCTTGATTAATTGTTTGGGCTTTTAAAATGTCAGAAAATTATTGTGTTGGACTCACACAATAAAATGTCTTATTGTGTGAGTCCAAAACCCAAATATATTAAGTTTAATATGGGATAAAACTGAGGAATGCAGTAAATCTCTATATTTAAGAAGCTAAAAATCCATAATGGAATGCAAAAATTCATTAAATTACCATTATTCAAATTAGTTTTTTTTTTTTTTTTTGCTTAATCGCTGCAGCTCTCAATGCATTACACATTTAAACCGTCATACAAAGTCTCTTACGGCAATAGCTAACCTCGGCTGTAGCTTCTGTCTCAGCAGCTTTTTAGTTGAAAGACAAAAACCGGTGCTAACTCCTCCAACCATCTTCCTGTTTCCAGCTGAACTGTGGGTGTGAAACAGAATGTTTGTTATTTTTGTTGTTGTACATTGTTTGGAGTGGAATGAAGTGCTTTTTAGTTTTTTTTTTTCTCATATAGGAGAAATGTATTGAACTAACTCTTCAAAGATATAGCTCCAAGTTTACTGACAACTGTGGTATAGAAAGTATATACAAAATAATGACTTGCTAATGTATATTTGCATATAATGATCCATATGAGATGTAAATATCTATTTTTTCCATTTGATTTGAACGGTGTAATATCAGATTATTGAAATGTCCCTGGGGTTGGGTTTATTATATCAGAGTAACGTTTTTCTGTCAAGTGGTTTGAAATGTGTTTAATCTGCATAGCTTGAATTATCTGTCCCTCTTAAACCAGAGCATGATGAGAACCGTATGACGCTGGTTATGTTATTCGCCATCTTCTCCCCCTCTACTCCTGCACATTTTAGAAGTACCCAGACAAAGTCAACATTGCTGAGTAAAGATGTCCCTAAAATCATTAGTAGCAGCGGAGCAGGAGCACCTTTCCTTTAGAGAGGGTCGAATAGTGTGCAAGTCTTTGTATTTGGGGATGTTGAACTTTTTATTTTGGTAATTAAAGATTTTAATTAAAGCCTGTTTTTGTATACTCGTGCATCACCGACAGTTTCCCTTTAACTATCTTAGATAAAATATGAATTGCTGAAATAATGAAATGAATTCATCAACACACACAAAAATAATTAAATGTTTCATAATTGAGTAATAATTTGAAGTTGTTTAAGGCAAAAACACCAAATATTTACTGGTTTTGGCTTGTCAAATTTAAGATGTTCTAAAAATATTTATCAAGCATTACCACCTGAAGATGGTGCTATGTTTAGGGGTACTTTACGAGATCCAAATGATTACAGATTGTCCTGTCGGGGCGAGAATCGCTTAAAACGTAATTAAAAGACCATGCATCCTGTAATGTAGAGACATTTTAAACAAACCAGGACAACAATCGATGCATCACCAAAGTATGTAACATTTAATTATTTGGGGAGCAGGAATATATTTACAAAATGATATAAAATGTATGTCAGATATATGCATCATTCTGGAACAAAGCAGTGTACTGACAGACCTTTTGGTTATGCATGTTCAGAGAGATGTATTCTGAGCCTCACTCAGCCCCACCTACTGGATCAGGTTGAAATGTGGTACTCTGTATACTAAAAGAAAACCGATAGAAAATCGCAAGAACCAAAGGACATTTTGCAAACATGTATTCACATAAGTAGTTCTAAAGTGTCATATTAATTAAAAATACATAATCAAAAACGTCCCAAAAAGAGGATTTCCACTTGTATTCACTGCCTTGATGTTGAGCTTTATTTCTGTGCAGAATTAATGTCGTTTTACATCTAGAAGTTGTTCAGTCCTGCATTAAAAAAACAGAAGGCCAAAGACCTTTCTTAATTTAGCTCCAGCGCTGAAAAACTCATTTAAATATATGACTTTACATTTCCCCAAGAAGGAAAGATCCTTTTAATGTCATTGAAGCTTTATGGGAAAGTGTGAGTATTCATTGCAGATATATTGAAATAAATGGACTCAAGAAAGACTCGGTGATGATACAAATGAAATTATTTTAATGCATATTAGCATAGTTTTTGGATTTACAAATATAAACATGATCACATTCACCTCAGGTGATTGATTACGGCACAACACCCCAAAATACACACGACACCTACTGTATGGAGCTATTATTTAAACATTATGCAAATGAGTTATTTGCACAATACTTTCTTAAGCCTGTGGCCAGATGTGTGAGGCTGACTGTGTCATACAGTCAGTGGCAGGTCATTCAGGTAAAGTCATTTCACATTGTATTAATGTCAACTTCCTGCCACTGACTGTGTTAAACTCCACCAACAGGCTCAAACTAACCCGATAAGTTATTAGCTAGCATTATTTGATCCGGTTCTGAGGCATCAATGTCAACTTATTGAATAAATGAATAAATATAAACTGTAATAAAAAAACAAAATCAATAAATTAATGTTGAAATGTCAAACACAACACTCAACAATTTATAAAAGTATTAAGGTAAGTGAAGACATGAGGGTGTGAAAGGAAATATGTTTGTCATTTTGAAATACATTCTAAATATTTGAGAAAAAGTAATGATAATTTAATCAGATATTTATTTCTGTACAGGTCATCTTTTTTTGTCTTGATACTGAAGTTCCATTAATGTCACATACAGATGTTGGCACGTAGAAGATATGGTCGTATGAAGGCAAAGTGAGGAAGGGGATATTTTCTCTGTTCACATGCCATGCAGTCTCTCTGTGATTCTCAGCTCCTGAGACATGTTAAGTAAACTCTGTGAAGTGAAGCTTGTATAAAAATACTGTGTTCTCAAATATTTAAAGAATAAAAATAAACAACCCAACAAATAAGCACATCTTTAAAAAAAAAAGTATAATCGCAACACAAATGCATGCATCCTTTTTTCTGTCCAGTGAATGTGTTTCCGGAATCCGTCTCGTTTCAGTTTCTTTACAACGATTCAGAAACTTATCACAGGAGCAGTTTACAAAGAAAAATATTGTTCCATTAAGTGCAAAGTCTTTTATTGGTTGTTAGGAAGAACTAGCTGGCCTTCTGCAGCAGTTTGTCCTCTTTCAGTCTGAACGGCACGCTCACTGACATTTCTGCGATGAAGCGCTCGCAGGCCGTCCTCGTCACCTGCTTGCAGAAGCGCAGGTCGATCTGACAGATGCTGCCGCAGCGCTTGAAAAAGTTCAGGGAATGGTCTGTGACCCGGTTACAAACTGAAAGGGAAACGGAGAACAACATCAGTCACAAGCTTGATATTTATAAAGGATGTGTGGTGAAACTTGACTGGATATCAAATAGCTTCTACAAGCACTTAAATTGGATATATTAAGTGCTTGATATTGGATTATTGATTATATTTTCCAACTAGTTTTGGGGGATTGCTGTAAGCGATATACACTATATATAATTTTTCACCCAGTTGCAGAGAACATTACGTTTCTCCTGTAGTGAAATTAACATATTGTTATACCTGCTGGCAAAATGAGAAAACTGCTAAGGTCTACTAAGGTTAGATGTAAAACATCTTACAGGTCAAATGTTGGGGGGAAACATTTATTTCTGGCTGGTGCCAAAACGTCATTATAAAACTTGTATCTGTCGCCATTACTAACTCTTACATGATCCTGTCAGGGGCTCTACTGAAACTGGAACAAGTCAGCAGAGTTTGATTTACAGTATCAAGATGAAATCTATAATACATGAGATTAAATTCTTCTTTTTGTCGAGTTGTAATTATGTAATAAAAAGGTCATTAACAAACATATTTCAACAGTTTCTGTCTACAAAATTAACACTTAAAATAGGAAACTCCCTATCTTTTGTTCTCTGCTAATCACACCTAATTGACTATATATTCTGATGATTTTGGATTGTAAATTGACAAATCCTTAAATGTACTTAATTTCTGTTTATATAATTTTGGAGAAACCAGTTCGAGTGCGCTAGAATTTAAAAATACACAACCGGAAAAAATCTGCCACTTCCTTCCAGAGCCCCTCCTCCAACGCACATGACCAATGAGGGCACGAGATAAGTTTGTGCACAGATGGAAGGCCATCCAGTTATTTTAGCCGGGCCGGCTCATATGATTGGTCGTGCTTTTTACAGCACTACGGCTTCCACAGATGAAACTTTTTTATGTATTTATTGTCAAAGCATTTCATATATTCATTGCAATCGGGATGTTAAGAGCATTCCATGGAATATAACAAAAAGTGTATCTGAAATAAATTACATACCTCCACCTTTAATTCTGCAGATTTCATAGATTATTGAGGATGTAACCCACACTACCCGACCTATTCATAATAACTCATCTAGTGACGAGTTTACCTTTAAACTAGCTTGTGTGGCCATTTTTAGTAGAGCATCTAACTTCGTACAGTATCACACCTGTATGTCAGCCCCCCCGCCCCCCCGTGCCTCTCTCACCTGACAGGTTGATGTCTGTGAGGGAGTCCCTGGTGGTGGTCCCGGCGGCGGTCAGCAGGTTGACCGACTGGTCGTTGATGTGGTTGCAGTAGCTCAGGTCCAGCATGGAGAGAGAGGGCATCTGCCGGCTGATGAGGCGTAGAGACGCGTCGGTGATGTCCAGCCCCGCCAGCCGCAGGTCCTCCACGTTCCGCAGCTTGCAGCGGTTATCCAGCTGACCTGTGATCAAAGTCACATAAAGAACATCACAGATTAGTTCATGTATTTTGTCAACAAGTGCACAACAGTAAATAAGGATCTGTACGATGTCTCAAAGCTATAAATGAGAAGTCAGTCACATTATGTTCGTACTTTAAAGCTGATTTTTATTCCTAAAAATGTAAATCTAACTTAGGTCTGAGGACAAAAATATTATATATAATGCAACTACACAAACAATAACAGGTTCATAATTTCTCCTTTTAACATTGAAATGTTATACTTTTAAATGTAGTGATTTCATCATTAAGGGTGGTCATAAAGTAGTAACTAAACTTTAGCATGATGGCTGTGCTTGACCTAATGGTTACCTGGTCTGTTGTCTGTGGGGGGAGAGAGGAGGTCCCTCATCTGAGCGTCTTTGAGCCCCTCTACCCACTGGACGTCCAGGGTGCGCAGCAGAGGGCAGCTGGAGGTGCAGAGCGCAGAAACCGCCGCCCAGGAACACCCCGACAACTTTAACACCCGAAGACCTGAAAACACACAGCAGCACTTTAAAATACTGATGCCCGACAGAAGAAACTAAACAGGGAGAGTTTCCTTGTCAGCAGTTCAAGAATCACTCATAGTTACCTGGCAATCTGTTTATAAGCCAGCCCAATTGTTTCTTGGAGATGTTGGTCCAGCTGAGGTCCAGGGAGCCCGGCTGCCGGCGGATAATCCCACTCAGCATGAGAGGCGTGATGGAGGTGCAGCGATTCAGGTCGATCATCGTCCAGAGTCTCTTATCACAACACCTGGACATCAGAAAGAATATTTATATGTAACCATGTTATCAAGATGTATCAAATCTGAGCAGCAATATTTGTGTTTCGACAGTTGGGGGATGTTTTCAGTGTGTTAATTATTGTTAACATAGAGAACAAATCTTTTTTAAGACCCTACTTTGGCGGTCTGCTCTTTTGTAAGTGTGCAGATGTGGTGTGTTTTTTGTGTCTTCAGGGAAACAGCGCCAAAGCAAAAGACATGTTTGAGCTAGGAATGGTAACCCAATGCATTACTGCAAGAACGTGTGAAAACTGACTTCAAATTCAAACTGACTTGAAAGGCAATGTTCCCATTCAGTTAGTTTGTCAATACTAAATCAATGGAAAAGAAGCTGGTGCAATTGTGTGAAGTTGAAGTCAAACTAAATGATATGATAAAGTAGACATTTGTAAAAATCAATACGAATTCAAAATGACATTAAACAACCTCAGATTTGGGGAATTAGTTTGCAAGAGCGATGCAACAGGTTAAATCCAACAGCGGTGTCGTTTTAGAGATGATATAAAAAACTTTGAGATATAAATTGTTCATAGCTTATAACCGATGAGAAATGTTTCCTAA